GATGTATCCTGGGAGAGGGTGGCAAGATGCACAGGGTCACATGGAGCACCGTGGCATTCTGCTGCTCTTGCACGTAGAGGATGCTCAGTCAAAGTAGGTAATGGGATGGACCAATAGCTTCTCTGATCTGCCCCAGTCGCACTCTTGTGTTTCCCACACCCTCCTCTCTGCCCACCCTGCCCCGGGGCTCTGAAGACCCCAACTGCTCCTGGAGGGCCAGTGCTCTCCTAGCCTCCATTAGGAGCCTCTTCCTGCTGTGCCAGGTGCATCCACGTGGCTTCACGCTCTCGGTCCCCCTCCTCCTCCCTGTCCTTATCTTTCCCTTTCGTCTCCATGGAGACTCACCGCCTCGGCTTGCCTGCATCCCAGCCTCTGCCAGGGATTCTGAGCTGGGCTCGATTCATCCCTCCTCCGAAGCCCTGGTACCCGCAGCCCTGTCTCCTCCCCCTGGGGTGAATCCACCCTCCTTTACAGCCTCTTTTTTTCTGACCAGCTCATTTATTCTCCAGCGCTGACAGCTAGGCAGAGCCTCTGAAGAGCCCATCCCCCTGCTCCACCCTCCACCTGCTCCGCTAGCCCTCTGGGTGAAAGGCTGTCCTACCGGCAAAAGGTCTCGGTGGGCTTCCTCTCTGAGCATCGGACCCTCTGCCATTCCAGCCTCCCATGCCGAGGCCCGCTCTGTCAGTCACTGCTTTTTGTCATCGGCTTGGCAAACGGGCAAGTCTTCAAGCCCTAAAATCTGGGAAGGAGAGTTGGGGGTGGGAAGAAGCCACCTGGGAGGGGGAAGGGTGGCGACGGAAGGACCCTAGAAACTGGGCAGGAAGACAGGGTCTGTTCTGTTCTAAATATGTCCCCTCCCCCCTCCTAGGAGAGCAAAAGAAGCTTCATGGGAAACAGCAGCAACAGTTGGTGAGCCACGGGGCCTTCTGGGCTGGGATTGGTGCAGTGGGCCTGGCAGGTCAGCTGGCAAAACTGGTCCAGGAGCACGGATCTCTGCAGTCCAGCAGATTTCTCTGCTGAGCGCTCTGCAGTGCTCTTCCCCAGGGAGGAAGCACAAAGGCCGGATGGGCCAGGCTGTGCAGGGAGGGACCAGGACAAGCAGGTGGGTGCTACAGATGCTCAGCTCGGAGAGCACAAGGAATCCTCCGAGAACCTGACCATCTGTTCAGCTGCAGAATGGCTGCCTGGGTGCCAGGAAGCTACTGCTCTCTCTTGACTATCCCAGCAGCTGGGGTTGTAGTTTGTGCCCCTTTGAGGAAGCCCCGCTGCAAGGCTGATGCTCTATGGGTTTCCTGAGTGTCTTCGCTAATGAGGAGCCCCAGACCCGGCCATGTCACTGCCAGTCTCTCATTTGGACCTCACCCATGGTTGCATGGCTGGCATGTACAGGGCCAGGATTCCCTGAGAGTTGCTCTGGGGGCGGGGGTACTCAGTCCCCTCTGTTCTGTTGCTCTCAGTTAGGATGGCCAGGACCTGGGAGACAAGGAAGTGAGGAATGTGTGGACCTCATCCTCCAGGTGGCTTAGGAAGCTGAGGTGGCATAGAGGGGCCTTCACTCCTAAGCTGTCAGCCCTCCAAACCCTGCACCCAACAGGCATCCAACTTCCAGATGATGTCCTACCCTCCAGGTCCCATGCATCATTCCCCAAGCTGGAGCTGGGAC